AACATGAATTGAGTGTGCTGTCCTTTACACAATCATTATATATGTACAATATATACACAGACAAACACACACACTTGAAAATAACCAGTCAGCTGGACATAAAATACAAGCAAAGTATGTTATTCAGCAACGCATGGCTTTAATGATCTAGCACATTGTACAGTTGCAAGAAAAAGTATGTGAACCCCTTGGGATTACGTGGAGTTTTGCATGAATTTGGCATAAAATGTGCTCTGAACGTCATCTAAGTCAAAACAATAGAAGAACACAGTCTGCTGAACATAATACTACACAAACATTAGATGTTGCCATGGTTTAATTGCACATAACATGAAAACATTAACAGTGCAGGGAGGAAAAAGTATGTGAACCTTTGGACTTAATAACTGGTTGACCCTCCTTTGGCAGCAATATCCTTAACCAAACGTTTCCTGTAGTTGCAGATCAGACCTGCACAACGATCTGGAGTAATTTTGGACCACTCCTTTTCACAAAACTGTTTCAGTGTAGCAATATTCTTGGGATGTCTGGTGTGAATCGCTCTCTTAAGGTCATGCCACAGCATTTCAATCGGGTTGAGGTCAGGACTCAGACTGGGCCACTCCAGAAGGCGTATTTTGTGCTGTTGCAGCCATTGTTTTGTTGAATTACTTGTATGCTTTGGGTCATTGTCCTGTTGCATCACCCATCCTCTGCGGAGCTTCAGTTGGCGGACAGATGGTCGTACGTTTTCCTTCAAAATGTCTTGATAAACTCTGGATTTCATTTTCCTATCAATGAAAACAATCCGTCCAGGCCCTGAGGCAGCAAAGCAGCCCCAAACCATGATGCTCCCTCCGCCATGTTTTACAGTGGGGATGAGGTTTTGATGTTGGTGTGCTGTGCCTTTTTTTTCTCCACACATAGTGTTGTGTGTTCTTCCCAAACAACTCAATCTTGGTTTCATCTGTCCACAGTATATTTTGCCAGTAGTGCAGTGGAACATCCAGGTGCTCTTTTGCAAACTTCAAACGTGCTGCAATATTCTTTTTGGACAGCAATGGCTTCCTCCGTGGTGTCCTCCCATGTACTCCATTCTTGTTTAATGTTTTCCTTATTGTAGATGTGTCAACAAAAATGTTAGCATGTGCCAGAGATTTCTGTAGGTCTTTAGCTGACACTCTGGGATTCTTCTTTACCTCATGCAGCACTCTGCGCTGTGCTCTTGCAGTCATTTTTACAGGATGACCACGCCTAGGGAGAGTAGCAACAGTGCTAAACTTTCTACATTTGTAGACAGTCTGTCTTACCGTGGACACATGAACATCAAGGCTTTTGGAGATACTTTTGTAACCCTTTCCAGCTTCATGCAAGTCAATAATTCTTGATCGTAGGTCTTCTGAGAGCTTTTTTCTGCGAGGCATGGTTCACATCAGACAGTGCTTCTTGAAACCAGTAAACCCAAAACAGGTGTGTGTTTTTTAAGGGCAGGACAGCTGTCAGCAACACGTCCAATATCATCACACTGATTGGAGTCAAGGTTGGCTCACTCCTGGCTCCAATTAGCTCTGGGAGAAGTCATTAAGCTAGGGCCTCACATACTTTTTCCTCCGTGCACTGTGAATGTTTACATGTTATGTGCAATTAAACCATGGCAACATCTAATGTTTGTGTAGTATTATGTTCAGCAGACTGTGTTCTTCTATTGTTGTGACTTAGATGACGTTCAGAGCACATTTTATGCCCAATTCATGCAAAAACTCCACGTAATCCCAAGGGGTTCACATACTTTTTCTTGCAACTGTAAATATACAAATATTACTGATACATAATACCTCCATTTTAAATCCCTTCCATAATACATAAACTACCTCTTTTTACATTATGGAGTTATTTAGTAAAACTGGAGAGTGCAAACTCTGGCACCACTCTGTACAGAAACTAATCAGCTTCCAGGTTTTGTTGCCAACGCTTAACTCAATAAACTGAAGTTAGAGGTTGGTTTGCTACGATGAACAGCTGCACCAGATTCTGAGTGCACCAGTTTTTTAATAAATCTACCGCATATCTTTCTTTCTCATTCATATTTAAATAAAGCTGAGATCAAAAAATTCTCAAAGTGGTAAATGTGAACTATTCATATGAGGTTCATATTTACCTGGAATATGCATTTAAAGTCTTTATTTTTTCTTAAGATATTAACCACTTCAAGTCCGGACACTTTCACCCCCTTCCTGTCCAGGCCAATTTTCAGCTTTCAGTGCTATCACACTTTGAATGAGAATTGCACGGTCATGCAACACTGTACCCATATGAATTTTTTAGCATTTTTTTGAGACAGATACAACTTTATTTTGATGGTATTTATTCACCACTGGTATTTATTTTTTTGCTATATAAATGAAAAAGTCCAAACATTTTGAAAAAAAAAAAAAAAAAAAAAGTGTTTTTCCTAAACAAATAATCTTTCTTCATAAATCTTGGCCAATATGTTTTCAGCTATCTTTTTAGTACAAAAAACCCCCCAAAAAAAACAACAATCTAGGAGGGAGGGGAGAGTGGTACAGGAGGAGATAGCTGTGGGGGATGGAGTGGTAGGAAGAGTGGAGGAGGTCGGAAATTAGCAGGGGGTGGGGTAGGCTTCCCTGAAGAGGGGGGTTTTCTGGGTGCGCCTGAAGAAGAGGAGAGTAGGTGATAGTCTGATGGGTTGGGGCAGGGAATTCCAGAGGATGGGTGACACCCTGGAGAAATCCTGGAGGCGGGCATGGGAGGAGGAGACCAGGGAACTAGAGAGAAGGAGGTCTTGTGAGGAGCGGAGTGTGCGTGCTGGGCGGTACTTGGATATAAGGTCAGTGATGTAGTTTGGGGCAGTATGGTGGACAGCTTTGTACGTCAGTGTTAAGATTTTGAATTTGTTCCGTAGTGCAATCGGAAGCCAGTGGAGGGATTGGCAGAGGGGGGTGGTGGAAACGGAGCAGTTGGTAAGGTGAATGAGTCTGGCTGCCGTATTCAGGATCAACTGAAGCGGGGATAGTCTGTGGTGAGGCAAGCCAGTGAGGAGGGAGTTGCAGTAATCGAGTCGTGATATGATGAGGGCGTGGATGAGCTGTTTAGTGGTTTCTGGGGTTAGGAACATGCAGATTTTGGTGATGTTGTGGAGGTGGAGTCTGCATGAGTTTGTTAATGATTGGACATGGGGCTGGAAGGATAGGTTGGAGTCCAAAATGACACCAAGTACTCTGGCCTGTGGGGCGGGCCTGCTGATAGTGGCATTGTTGGACGTGATGGAGAAATCAATGGGGTGGTGGTGTGTGGGCTGGGGGGAAGACTAGGAGCTTGGTTTTGGAGAGGTTCAGTTTAAGGAAGTGGAGCGACATCCAGTTTGATATGTAATTTAGTAGGTTTGTGATTCGGGCGGAGACTGAGGGGGTGAGGCGAGGGTTTGAGAGATAGATTTGTGTGTCATCGGCATAGAGGTGATAGTTGAAGCCGTGAAAGTGTATGAGTTCGCCAAGGGAGGAGGTGTAGATGGAGAAGAGGAGAAGGGGCCCGAGGACAGAGCCTTGAGGGACCCCAACAGAGAGGGGGAGTGAGGGGGAGGTGGCAGCATTATAGGTAACGCTGAAAGAGCGTTGTGGCAGGTAGGATGAGAGCCAGGAGACAGCGGAGTCTCGGAGGCCGAGGGAGGGAGTGTAGTTTTTTTTGAGGAGGGGGTGGTCGACTGTGTCGAAGGCTGTGGAGAGGTCAAGGAGTAGGAGCACTGAGTAGAGGTCATTAGCTTTGGCGGTTAGAAGGTCGTTGGAGAGTTTGAGTAAGGCGGTTTCAGTGGAATGTAGGGGACGGAAGCCGGACTGTAGGGGATCAAGGAAGTTGTTGTCGTTGAGGTGAGAGCTTAGACGAGTGTAGACTAAGTGCTCGAGGAGTTTGGATGTGAATGGGAGCAGGGAGATGGGTCTGAGGTTGTTCGGGTCATTGGGGTCCAGAGAGGGCTTTTTAAGTATGGGGGTGATGTGTGCATGCTTCAGAGGGGAGGGGAATGTGCCGGAAGAGAGGGAGAGATTAAAGATGTGGGTGAGGGAGCGTAGGATGGAGAGGGAGGGAGGTCGTAGGAGTTGTGAGGGGATGGGGTCGAGGGGGCAGGTGGTGAGGCGGGCATCAGAGAAGACCTTGGAGACCTCCTCAGTGGTAGTAAGGTCAAAGGTGTGGAGTGTTGAGGGGGCTTCAGTGTGAGGATTGTTGGGTGGGGTGGAGGTCAGAGCAGTGGTGGGGCCGTGGAGAGGGGTGATGAGGGGGTAGCTGTGTGAGAGGGGGACGGAGTTAAAGGGAGTTTGAGCATCGAAGGAGTCTCTGCAGATTGTGTTGAGGGAGCTGCGGTGATGTCCTTGCGAATTGTGTCAATCTTGTTTATAATGTTTTGTTTTTTCAACATACTGTCACCCTAGCAGTACAGTGTCACCACACTGTACTACTTGTGCGGGGTGATGAACATTTTTTTTTTTACACTGATTGCTTTTACACCCATAAAGGCTGCAAAAGCAATAATTTCTCCTTCTCTCTGGCTGCATTCTTGCAGCCATTGAGAAATACTGTGAGAGCTGTGATTGGTCACAGCTTGTCACATGGTACAAGGCTGTGGTGAATAGCCTTGTACCATGTGACCTGTGTGATCATTCACAGATTTCACACGTAGTAAGCAATGATGTCAGAAGTGACATCTTGCTTACTACTATTCATGTGATCACTGATTGGCCAATCGGTGATCACATGATCAGGACCTCACACAGAGGTCCTGTAAAGCAATTGGTGTTCCGCTGTGTCCTCCGGACACAGCGGGCACCGGATCGTGGTGCCACCCACACTCCCAGGGAGCGCGCACAGACAGGGAAGTGGGAGGACATTTATAAACGGCCACCCACTCCTGCACTGCTCCTGTCTGGCTGTTTATATACATGGGCTGGACGGGTAGTGGTTAAAACACACTGCAGACTGTCATTAATACAGACAGCTGATCTTTAACATACCTTGAGGGAGATGATAGCCAGATCTGTCTGTTTGGTGTCTGTTTATTGATCACATAGGTTCCAACGTCACTGCCGACTTTTACTGTAAGAACACCATTCTAGTGATAAAATTACAAAAACAAAATATGGTTGCATACCTGAATAAACTGCCAAAATATAACACTGTAATAATATTTACTGTAAATTAAAAGATGACAATGCTGTTCTTGATTTTACTGACAACTCGAGGCTTAGAAACACAGGATAAAACCAGAGAAAACTTACTTCACATTATCCCACTTGTTTTTTTGTAGTATATACACAAGAAAAGACAGATCTTTTGGTGCCAGAGGTGTCTGACATTTAAGGAGCATCAAACATGCTCATCACACATGCTTCAAAAAAATGAATTAACCACTTGCCCTCCAGAGGATTTACCCCCCTTCTTGACCAGGCCATTTTTTGCGATACGGCACTGCGTCAATTTAACTGACAATTGCGCGGTCATGCAACGCTGTACCCAAATGAAATTATTTTTTTCCTACAAATAAAGCTTCTTTTGGAGGGATTTCATCACCTGTGCGTTTTTTTTTTTGCGCTATAAAAAAAAAAAAAAAAAAAAAAAAAAGAACAAGTCTGAGAAAAAAAACTATATTTTTGACTTTTTGCTATTAAACATGTCCAGTAAAAAAAATCCCAATACACATAAATTAATTGGTTTATGTGAAAGTTGTAGCATTTACAAATGGCGGTATAGATACTGGAATTTTTTTTTTTTTACTAGTAATGGTGGGCATTCTGACACTGGGGGGAACTGATTTGGTGTCACTGATATCCCCAGTGACACCAATACAGTGATCAATGATCAGTGCTAATAAAAAGCACTGACACTGTACTAATGGCACTGGGCAGGAAGGGGCAAACATGTGGGGCGCTCAAAGGGTTAACTGTGTGCTGTGTTAGTGCTTTCAGCTGTAAGCACACTGATTTGTATGGCTGTGCTATGCAAAGCCATACAAAGCAGTGTGCAGGAGCCGACAGGAGAGATAACTGTATTGTTATTGTAATGCTCAGTGATCACTGGGTGCCGGCGAGTAATCTTTGGCTGGGACCTGGTGGTTGACAGCCGAGGCCGCGAATAGTGGCGCGGGTAGGGCTTGCACGTGTCCCATACCCGGAAATGCAAAATCATGTATATATACGTGATTTTGCGCACCCCTGCTGCCCTGTAGCAGTATTTTTGCTCTAGGGCGGAGTGGAAGCGGTTTTTTAAACTAGACAGAATGAGTGTAGTGTACCTTGTCCTTCTGCCCCACTGCCACTCCCTCATCACACTTGCCTCCAATCCCCAGCTGTCTTTTTGACAGTCAGGAGTTGCTGTGTAAATACAAAGGCTATTACACCCTTACCACTGTTAAAACAAGACATTCCAGCACACTGCTTGTAAAAAACTATTCAGACATGAGGAACAGAGCTACAAAGTAACATTATTACTTTTGTATTTAATTAGTTTCATTCTGATTCTTTATTAGTTTCCACTGAGGATCAAAGGGATGAGCTTCCACCTGCACATGATGTCAGTTAAAGCAACCTGAGGTGTGAAAAAAAGAAGTCTTTTTTCATTTCAATTTTTCTTTTTAGCATTTTTTGTGTTGCAATAAAAAAAAAAAATGAAACAAAATCTACTATTTTGTCTATCAATTGCATAAAAATGTAAACATTGTTGCAAGACAATACCACCACAGGAATGCCTATTTCTTCCCAAAAAATGATATATGTATTATTTTGTTATCTCAAGTAATGACACAGTTATTGCCAAAACAACAAGACAGAATTGTAAAAATTGCTTGGGTCTATAGGGGGTGCACAAGCAGGAGAACTGTATTAGTTAATCTTTCCTATTATAATTGTAAGCAGATCATTGCTGAATTATGTTATACAGTATATACTACTCTGTACTGGACCAACTGTGCTATACATTTACAGTATTGTCATACAATTCAGTAAGACACTAGGACGAGGCTTCCACCTTCACCCAGTCTTCCAGGTTCACAGGCTTCGGAAGTTTGAATAGCCGGGCCGCGATTACTCCAGCACCTGCATTGAGGAGTCATAGCCATGGCACAGAGCTTGGAATTGACAGCATAGGGAGACTACATACAATACTGGTGACTGGTCCATTGCCCTTGGCTTGCCTTTTTTTGGGCACAGCTTCAAGAGTTCAGTTCCTATTTATTTATTTTATTTATTTCAGGTACTTATATATCGCCGTCAATTTACGCAGCACTTTTACATATATATTGTACATTCACATCAGTCCCTAACCCTCAAGGGGTGTACAATCTAAGGTCCCTAACTTACATCCATACATACGCCAATTTAGACAGGATCCAATTAACCTACCAGCATGTCTTTGGAGTGTGGGAGGAAAAAGGAGTACCCGGAGGAAACCCACGCAGGCACAGGGAGAACATGCAGACTCCAGGCAGGTGGTGCCGTGGTTGGGATTTCAACCAACGACCCTAGTACTGCCAGGCGGAAGTGCTAACCATTTAGCCACTGTGCTGCCCCATTTAAAATTATTTCTCAGCAAGAACTTGGCCCTCAGGGCAGACTTTTAGGTCAATTTAGTAAAAATGTAAAATATTAATGGGAAAACTGACCTATTCTTGCATTTTCTGCTCCAACAGAAAAATTGTACCAAGAACATTATTTTCTGTAGCATCCAAACCCCAAAAAGTGTAGAACACTAGATCAGAATATGCAGAAAAAGCTAATATGTCAAGTATAATGTACTCATTGACTTTATTCAGTATGACAGAGTTCCTTGTATCTGAAGCAAGACTGGAAAGGTAGCCCAGAAGTATACAACTTAAGAACACAATATCCTCTCTGTTGATGATCTAATATTTCCATAAAGTAATCTGAGGCTAGTAATAACCAGCTAAACACAACGCTTCTGTTCTATGACTCAAGGCTTATAATGCAATTGGCAAAACACACATCCTTACAGTAACACAGTTAAAGACCATCTGATGCTATAAACAAAACAAAAGAAGGTATTGATTTCAGTACCAAGCAAAACTAATAGCACACAATCATAATAATGATGTATTAGGGAGATAGTCAGATTGATCATTGCTAGCTTGTTGCAAGTCTCTGGGACCCCAGCTAACCCAGTACAAATCACTGTGCACTTAGTTGCCATGTTAGAAGTGAAAAAAAACAAAAACAGAAATGGCTGTAACTAGATTAATATGAAAATCACTAAAGCAAATAAACATCTGCTTGTGGGTTTGCCTGTGTTGCTCTTTTTTTTCTATAATGCAATAAGAGACAATAACTCCAGACAAAGTCCCCTACATTGGTAACACCAACCAGTAATAATGGTTACCCGAGGCATTATCATTTGCCCCAAATGAAAGCCCATTCTGTCCTGAAAAAAGAGAACGCATAATCCACTTGGATACACTAAGTATTTGTGATGATATGTACAGTTTTACTAACACATGTCCAAGTTTAAAAATTGGGCTTGGGCCTTAAAGTGGTTGTAAAGGCTCAAGGTTTTTTACCTTCATGTATTTCTATTAAACAAAAGCATAACAGGGCGCACTCTCTTGGTGCATTACCGCATACTCACAAACCAAAGAGGGATAAAAACAAACAGAGAAGAGTCCGTAATAACAGTCCAAAGTGACAGTAGACCCTTGGTGAGGTAGGCAACGCGTTTCAGGAGACGTACTCCCTTCTTCATAGCTCTGAAGAAGGGCGTATGTCTCCCGAAATGCATTACTTTGGACTGTTATTACGGACTCTTCTTCTCTGTTGTTATCCCCCTTTGGTTTGTGCGTATGCATGTATATGCTTTTAAATAAATTTATGTTTCACCACGGTAATGCACGAAGAGAGTGCGCCCTGTTTTGCTTTTGTTTACCAGTACCAAGATTTCCCGATCTTCTAAGGGTTGCACCTCAACGCATAGCAATTGCAGTTATCCTAGTCTGCATGAAGATTTGAGCACTGGTTTTGTTTATTTTCCTGTATTCAATGCATAAAGGTAAAAAACCTTCTGTGTACAGCAGTGTGCCCCCCCCCCCCCCCCAGCACCCTCAATACTTACCTGAGCCCCATCAAGATCCAGCGATGTGCATGACAACCTTGGCTACCCCGTGTCTCTGCCTCCTCATTGGCTGAGACAGCTCCTGCTGCTATCAATCACAGCCAGTCAGCCAATGAGGAGAGGGGCAGCACCAAGTGGGCAAGGGGCAGCACAAAGCTGCGGATTCATGTGTGAATAGACACACAGAGCAGTGGGTACCCCCATAGAAAGCTGCTTGCTGTGGGGCACCTGACGGGAAGGAGGAGACAGGAGAGCCTGCGGGGGATCCGAGAAGAGCACACAGCAGGTAAGTATAACAGGTTTATTTAACAGAAAAAAAACAAATAAACGAAACATAACCTTTAGAATCACTTTAAGGTTTGTTTTGACCCTAGTCATGAAGGGGTTAAATGGCAAAATGTACTTTCCAAATATATACTGAACATGTATCTTCTACTTATCTAGAATGTTATAACATTCAGAACTGTTCCCCCCATCCCTCTGCACTCCTGTAATATTGGATACTACTGAACAACTATGTTAGAATATCCATGAAGGAGTATTCCAAGGTCAGTTATCTTTATTGTTTCATTTGCTCACTGAACCAACAGTGGACTGAACTGAATGAAATACAACATTATATCCAATTAAGTAATAAACAGCCTCATTGTTTTGTAGACTGGAAAAAATGACAAGTCAATGTCATAGAAAAGAGGTTACAAGGACAAATAACAGCATTTCCATTATAAGGGCATTTATCTTAATATAGCAGTAAACTATCTGTACAAATTAAACAATTCCAAAATATCTGTGCGAAAACATAAACACAAGTTACACAGAAATGTAAAAATAAAGAACATTTTGCAACTCTGCAACACTATGTAAGAGTGCCTCCACTTGGTGAATTCTGGAACTGCAGCTATTATGAAATGTCTTACAATACACTGACACCTCAATGAGCTTATCGCTACACTACAAAGTATCCGGTCTCAAGCACAGGATTTACAAAAAAAACTGTCA